AGAGGGGTTCCCACCGGCACTGTAAGGATTAAATGTTGGTGTTCCTCACCTGATTCCCTCGCTGCCCCCGGCAACCGTTCCTCACCTTCTCCTTCGCTCTGCCCGGCAGCCATTCCTCACCTTCACTCCGCCCGGCAGCCATTCCTCGCCTGATCCCCTCGCTCCACCCGGCAGCCATTCCTCACCTTCTCCTTCGCTCCACCCGGCAGCCATTCCTCACCTTCTCCTTCGCTCCACCCGGCAGCCATTCCTCACCTTCTCCTTCGCTCCACCCGGCAGCCATTCCTCACCTTCTCCTTCGCTCCACCCGGCAGCCATTCCTCACCTTCTCCTTCGCTCCACCCGGCAGCCATTCCTCACCTTCTCCTTCGCTCCACCCGGCAGCCATTCCTCACCTTCTCCTTCGCTCCACCCGGCAGCCATTCCTCACCTTCTCCTTCGCTCCACCCGGCAGCCATTCCTCACCTTCTCCTTCGCTCCACCCGGCAGCCATTCCTCACCTTCTCCTTCGCTCCACCCGGCAGCCATTCCTCACCTTCTCCTTCGCTCCACCCGGCAGCCATTCCTCACCTTCTCCTTCGCTCCACCCGGCAGCCATTCCTCACCTTCTCCTTCGCTCCACCCGGCAGCCATTCCTCACCTTCTCCTTCGCTCCACCCGGCAGCCATTCCTCACCTTCTCCTTCGCTCCACCCGGCAGCCATTCCTCACCTTCGTTCCGCCCGGCAGCCATTCCTCACCTTCACTCCGCCCGGCAGCCATTCCTCGCCTGATCCCCTCGCTCCACCCGGCAGCCATTCCTCACCTTCTCCTTCGCTCCACCCGGCAGCCATTCCTCACCTTCGTTCCGCCCGGCAGCCATTCCTCACCTTCTCCCCTCGCTCCACCCGGCAGCCGTTCCTCACCTTCTCCCTCGCTCCACCTGGCAGCCGTTCCTCACCTTCTCCCCTCGCTCCGCCCGGCATCGACCGGCAGCCGTTCCTCACCTTTTTCTCTCCGACGTTCTACGTCAGGGGTAGGCAATGCCGGCTCTCCAGCCGAGCTTTAACTACAAATCCCAGCTGAGTAGTGACACATCAGCTCCCCTCTCCCAGCAGTGATGGCTTACTCTGCTCCCCTCTCCCAGCAGTGACACATGAGCTTGGCTTACCCTGCTTCCCTCTCCCAGCAGTAATGGCTTACTCTGCTTCCCTCTCCCAGCAGTGACACATTACTCTGCTCCCCCCTCCCAGCAGTGACGCCTTACTCTGCTCCCCACTCCCAGCAGTGACGCCTTACTCTGCTCCCCACTCCCAGCAGTGACGCCTTACTCTGCTCCCCACTGCCAGCAGTGACTCCCACACCTTCTAATCTTTAATGTAAAGAGGCCCGAGCCTGACTGTGGGTGAAGGGCGTCATGGGCCCGACCCCTGGGGGTGTACGTCACCACTGTGCCTTGCCCTTACATCAATATGATGCAGAG